GTTATATACTTTCCACGTGCCCAACGGTATGGAGACACAAATTAATTTGATTATTCAATTCCAATTAGCACGTATGGTCTAGATATGAATTTTTACTCATTGTTCCAGAATTCAGGATGCTCTAGCATATTCATCCTGTCAATAAAATTTCTTCAAGACCTCCAAACACTTCATTTAAGGAATAATTTACATGGTTAGCACCAAAAATGTCAGCATTTACCATGACATAAATTCGTTTAAGGACTAATGTAAATGCATATTTTCCTTTTTCATTCTACATTATCATTGCATCAAGAGTTATAGGCAAGTCAATGCTCACCCCCAAGCCATCACCAACATTAGGATGTAGGTCACACATTTCCACAAACACATGGAGTGCGATATCACTGGAATGCATTTGTACAATAATTTGACCCAATTTTCTTGAAACCATAAGACAGAAAAATGAATAGAGATGTGCATGATTCATTAACACAACAAATGCAAGAGTTTTCTTTATGTTATTGAGCAAGTCTTTCACTTTTTACCAAAGTATAATGAATATAAATTAACACCTATCTGTGTCAAGTTTAAAGAGAACAAAAAACCACCATAGAAGGAAGATCGAGAGGGCCGAAGTTGGAGAAGTGCGCGAAGGTCCCAAATTCTGATTCCGTCAGATTGACCCATGGTCGCGTACCACCTGGGATGCCTTCCCCTCCACATGGCGTACACATCCCAACAATGGGTCTTCCTCAATTTCGTCCAGAACGCGATTGATTTTTGGATGCAGTTAAGGGTTTGTGCGAATCGGTGCTCACGATTGAGTGAGATGAGGTGAGGTTGAGGCTATTGGTGGTTGTGTGGTTGGTTGTTGTTGGTGGGCGTGGTGGCTGTTGGTGGTTTTGTCCGGTGGGCGTGGTGTCGGAAAATGGAGGCTGTAGGTTGGAAAGGAATGAACGGGTAAATGGCGAGTTGGGGAGAGACGTGAATAAATAAGGTTTGGGTTAATTTCGGTTGCCTGTATTTAAAAAAATACAAAAGTTTCCGCAACGTTTGTCAAACGTTGCGAAAGGTGAGTTTTCGCAACGTTTGACGTTGCAAAAGGTGCGACATTTTGCAACGTTTGACAAACGTTGCCAAAATAGACCTTTCGCAACATTTGTCAAACGTTGGGAAATGTGAGACTTTTTGCAACATTTGTCAAGCGTTGCGAAAGGTGAAACATTCCGCAACACTCAATAAACGTTGCAAAAAGGGGTCTATCGCAACATTTTTCTAAAAAACGTTGCAAAAAGTATTTACTAATATCAATGGCAGCATTCATTTATTAAAATGTTGTCAAAAGACCTTTTTAACAACATTTATCAACAAATGTTGCCTTTTTAGTATTGCAAATGACTATTTTTGTTGTAGCGTATATGACTGTGTTAATCATAGAAAAAACCAGTCTAGTTTTCTGATTGATATTGTTTCAATAATTATCGTAATTAGATCAATTACATTAGTTGTTTCCCAAATTAATTTTTCCTATACCTCTCTAATATATTATTCCTCAAAAATATATGAATCTATGAGAAACTTCTCCACTATTGTTCGATTTGTTAATACGCAAATTTTTCTAACCCGGAACAAGGATTAGATACGATCAAATTAATCAAAGCAGTGTATAGAGAGTTTAACGCAATAAAATAGAGAGATTTAGGGCATGTTCTCTTTACCATTTTCAAACCGTTTTCTGTTTTCGATTTTCCAAAACAATGAAAACGCGTTCTCTTCCCTATTTTCAAAAACGAGTTTTTGAAAACAAATTAAAAATTTACAAAAAAAACTCAAAACGAAATTTGTCGTTTTCGGTGTTTTCAATTATAATCAAGCCAAAATTTTCAAAACCCAGTTTGGGTGTTTTCAATCACCGCCAACCACCACCGAGAG